CTGTCAAATACTAATGCATGAAAATCCTAACCTCAAAAAAATCACCCTTACAATAAAGTAAACCAAATATTATTACTTTTATTTTGGTATATTGTAAACCATTAAAGGGAGTACGTATTCAATTATACAAGACCTGTTAAATAATGATTAATATTCATAATGATTATTAATTAAAGCATGTTTCTTTGGATAACCGTTTAATGAGTAATAATTAATTACGTAAAAAAACGTTAATTAATTCATTAATTTTAATTACATCATTATTTTGTTATTTGTGTCATTTTCAATTATTTTTGACTTGTTTTAATTACAAGAACTTGTTTTAATATCAAGAAAAACTATTGACAAAAGTTAAAAATATTTAACAACTGCTTGAATTATTTATTTATTTTATTCTTATCCAAATCTCAAATTTTAAACATTAATTATTACTTTTATAAAATTTTAAAAAGAAAAGACTGGAATGTGCAAAGTTAATGGATTTAATTTATTTTAATGAAAACTCTTATTTTTATTTTAGTTCACTCAAAAATGAACTAAAGTATTCATTTTATTTTTAACTAAAATGTTTTCTTTTGCATATTCAATATTATTAAAAAAGATAAAAATATAGTATTTATTGTACCTGAAACCTTTTACTTTTAATAACACTTAATGAAAAATGTGTAATATATTAAAGTGGACTTAATCAAAAGTGTTTTATTGTATATTCATTAATTCATTTTATTTTTTGGCTCCCAAAGTAGTCGTTTTGGTCCATTATTGGACTAGTATTTTTCTGTCTATTTTGAACTAGTATGAGACTGGTATATTTCTGACCGAAATCTGACAATTGCCATCTCGTAGGACATCCCCATGTTAAAAATACAAGTTGATTGCATGGAAAAAAGGTAGTTGGCTAACTAGTTGGGCATGCGGTTCATACTAGTTGTGAGGTAGTTTACAACTAAATAGTACATTTGACTACAGGGTATCTATACACTTGTATGTATGTATGTACTTTGGGATTGTATAATGCAGCTGTTCTAAGGCGAGGCGATTGTGTCCATTGTTGGCTCTGGGTGCTTTGCATACAAACACACAAATATTTAATTTGGTCTGTAATGTTTTGTATATGTTCTTTTTTTGACGCTCCATTTAATTAAATTTCCTCTACTTTTTTTTTTTTTTTTTTGTATAATAAACGATTGCGCATTTTCCTTCTTCAGTGGCACAAAATAATCGCTTCGCAAATTTGACGCTTCCTTCTCGTGCAGGCTTAACTTTGTTAATTGATTAATACATACACGAAAGCAAGGAAAATACTGCATTAAGTGCTAAAGAACAAATTAATGAGATAATGATGAGCAAAATTTCTCTAATTGCATGCAGGACTTATTCATGTACATGGAGCTTAGTATTAGTCCTTGATGGTGGAAATCTTGTCCCCGATATTTTCATGAATTAAAGAGCAAATACATATTAAGCCAACGGACTCAGATGCCGTAACATTTCATAGCACGGACTCCTCTGGAATAAAATAAAATATAATATTTTGTATTTTCCAGAGCCCCCTTTACGTCTAATAGACGATCAAGAACGGGAAGTAAGTGACCGCTTTTACAAAGCAGGCAGCACCATAGATCTTTATTGCCAAGTCTCGCGTAGTTTTCTACTTAAAGAGAGGGTTAAAATTGAAAACTCTGTACAACCATACGAGCAGAATCAAACAAAAGTAAATCCTAGCAAAGGCCACATAGGAGCCAACCGCTTGGGTTCCGGATACAATGAACTATTATCGAATAACAACCAAAGCAATACTAAGCTGTCAGGCCATGCGTTTGAAAAACAATTCATCAGCATGATATTTTGGGCAAAGGACGGCGAAGTATTACCTTCTACAATAATTAAACAGTCCAGGTAAATTTTAATATACATATGTATGTACTTTAAAATGATCATACACCCAGCTTCACTTGAATAGGTAATTTTCTGGCATAGGCATAGGAGAATCTTCGCTTTTATCTGAGAAAAATATTCTAATTTGTTTCAGAGATTGACAAACGATGCTGTTTTTGTGACTTTAAGCCTGCTCACATTAAAAACGGGGGATGAACGAACACCAGCGCATAGCGTGCAGTGCTTGCAAACACGGTTGCCGTTTTGGTCCAAATGGACCAAATTTGGTCAATTTCTTTTCGTTTGGTCAATTGGTCCAATTCTTTTTAAAATGGTCCATTTCACAAGCCTTTGGTTAGGTTATTATCACCCTTTCACTTCATGCAATAGTTTCGCGTTTTCAATTTTTTCTATTTATTTGATGAATGTTCCGCCCTATGTTGAATATCGCCATCGTCATTAAAAGTGACGATGCGGCCATCGTCAGCCATGTTACTGATGCGCTGACGATCGTCGACGATGATGATGACGGTATTCAGCATAGGGCCGATTGGCAGCACCTGCTAAAAGTGTGAACTCGCCTTGCCTTCTCATTTACCTTACTAACACATTTGCAAATTTTACGTTGGTTAAAAAGAGACAACTAAATAAGGCCATAAGTCGGAGGTAGACGGAAGATCACATGTACACAAATGTTTACATCACGTTTTGCATATTGCTCTTAAAAAGTTGATAGAAGTACATGATTGAGATCTCCATCACCAGTGAGTATCACATGATCAATCAAATGACTATCACTGTTCTTGTAGGGTGCAAATATGGCATGGCTAATCATCTGTCAAAGCACGCTTCAAAAATATCGCGATTTCTTGCTAATTTCAATTACTCGGTGACCAATATTAAAACGGCTGGCAAAAATATGGAAAGGAAAACTGCAGTGAAAACCCTAACCAGTTAGAAAAAATACTAGTTCATAAACTAGTATGTGCCTACCGGTTCGATATTTTCGAAGAACTTAAGCGTTCAGCGACATCTTCCTTTGAATTTCCAAAGCCTAAATTAAAACGCAATTAATTGATTTTCTTACAAATGTCGGATGTGGCGTCACGTGACGACTACTGGTTCTGGTTCTGGGATCGCAGGTTCGAGGCCGCTTGTAGGTGGTTAAGATTTTTAAAGTTAGATCAATGTAAGTAGGAATAATTATTTCAATTTAAATATAAATAACAAACTTAATAATCTAGTTGCATTACAAAAAAAAGAAACAAATATATGGGAAGAAATACTTGTGCCATAAAAAAATAGATTAAAAAAAAATATTTTTTTTTTTAATCAAATTTAAGAATAACTAAAAAAACCCTAAATAAAAATATAAATAAAAGACATATTATAAAAAAACAAAAAAAATAAAAAAAAATTCCCTGCGCCCGGGCTTGAACCTGGTACCTAAGGCATACCACGCGAGTGCTTTGCTCTGTCGGCCATTGCGACTGTTGGAGCGCCGCGAGCAAAAAGGCATACTAATGCTTTTCATAGGGGATGAATTGGCAGACTATCTCATCAACTGGTATGATGCTACTAGTATTTCTACTAGTAGATGCTGATGCATAGCCTGACAATTGACATCTCGTAGGACATCGCAATGTTAAAAATACCAGTCGCTAACATTGAAAAAGGATAGAACGTGAACTAGTTGGGCTGAAACGCAAACTGGTAGAATTCTAGTTCACAACTAGTAGCTTTCCCGGCAGGGAGCATTTAGCACATGACAATAATATTCGATTTCAATCGAAAAGATATTAAACATCTTGAAATTATTACACCACATAAAGTTCTTTCTGATACTGATGTATCAATTTTGCCGCTACTCGTCCACTTTCCTGCATTGGTAAATGATGCAGAAATAATTGAATTTCAATTTCGCAAATTGAGGCTGAGAGAAGGTAACTTCAAAAACTGTACCAATACAGAACGTTTTTGGGATCAAGTGAGTTTGATTAAAAATGGATTCGGTGAAGCGGCCTTTGGAAAATTGTGTGATTTAGTTCATAACATCTTGAGTCTGCCTCACAGTTCCGCAGCAGCTGCGCGCAATTTTTTTGATTTAACATTAATAAAAACAAAATTAAGAAACTAATTATAATTTAAAACTTTAAATAAAGTAATGTTAATAATATACAATTGTAATGCACATTGGATAATATATTAAAAAAAATCGTTATAAAGACTCAATTGGCATATTTTCTTGATAAAGAGGAATAAACTCCACTCAATTTCCCGATGTAATAAAAACTGGTCCATTTCTTATATTACCATTTGGTCCATTTTTTGGTCCGAAAAATAAATTGGAAATGGCAACCGTGCTTGCAAATACAGCCACCGCAAGTGAACGATACTTATAACAGCTCATACTGATATTGACTTCGGCAAACCGGCATTCCGAGTGAACGTGCACGAAACCAGCAACCACCGTATTAATAAAATAAAATTGTTGAATATAATTGTTATAAGGCCATAAAATAACAAAAAACAAATTTTGACCATTTGGATAAAAATATTTAGCAAAACGAAGAAAAGTTTAACATTTTAACACGCAGGAAAAACTTAAGCAGTTTTGCTTAAATTTAAGCAAAACGGCAACGCTGCTTGCTTCGCCAACCGTCCAAATGAGCTCTCACGCTTTCGGTAACCGTTCAAATGCCGCGTTTGCTAGTTTCGAGAAGGACCATTCGGAATACTGGTTTGCCGAAGTCAATATCAGTATGAGCTGTTATAAGTATCGTTTATTTGTGGTGGCTGTATTTGCAAGACAGCACGCTATGCGCTGGTGTTCAGTCATCCTCTAATTTCTTTTATACCGGGGACAGGCATCTGGTATTTCTTCGTAGCATTTCCAAAGTACCATATGTCTGTCACCAAATATTATAATATTCTCCAAAATACTACGTGAGCAGCCTAGTATTTTTTGTAGAAAGAATACAACTTTCCGAAGGTTGTAATTTTGTGGTATTCTCATCGTGAGTGGGCATTTCGCACTGAACATACCCAAAAATGACAGACGTCAGCTGCTCATTTATCAAAAAATCATTAAAATTTTCGCGCGATTGAAGCCAAAAGTTTGTACCGCAAGTTTTGATGTAATATATAAGCAATTTTTGCATTATTTTTGCATTTTTATGTTTATGTCTTGTTTTTCAAAAACATGTGATTTGACACTGAAATACTAAGTTAATGACTGTCACTATGGTAGTATTTTAAATACCACAATAAATTTACCAGAATGTAAATACCAGATGTCTGTCCCCGGTATTAGGTATCGATACTACTAAGTTAACGCGCTGCTCAATCATACAAAGCAGCAGTATTGATTGAGTATGCAATAGTTGGCGTTCAACGCATGCCAGTATCTGATTTGTTTCACACGCCTGAAGAGGTATAGTAAGTGTACCGCTATTGTGGGTTAAGTGTTGTAAATTAAATTGTCGTTAAAAACTCCCTAAGCATTAACAAGCGAATATAGATCCAACTTTTGCATTTTTAATTCGAGAAAATGAAGAATTTGTAGAATTCGTAGATCAAGCGCGTCCTAATTTTGCGAAACAAGTCAAAAACTTGCAAACATTTTAACCAGCTGTATCCCCGGCCTGTGATTTATGAAAAAACACGAAATATATGCAAAACTAAAAACCTACACCGAAATTACAGAAAGCCTATTGTGGAATCAACTTATTATTGTTGTGGTACTGCAGTATAGAACTAAAATTTAAGAAAACAGGTAATGTTCATGCTACCACAGGGAAGATTATGAATAAGTTAAGCAGTAATCCTTTAAAAACTAAAAAACAAAGGACACCAACAAATGCACATCTAAGATACTAGAGAAGAGAAACTAGAATTTATGCTGGCTCAACGAATTTAATAACAATTTTCGAAAGGTGGAAAATTTTTTCACTCACACCAAGATTGAGAGGGGTTGTAGCGGTGTAGAAAACGGTGTTGTGATTTGGAACTTTTGAGCTTAAATTTCAAGGAAAGGGACATACAATTCTTATAATTAATTACATAAGTACATAGGACATATTTCCAACTTCTTTAAAATCGACGATAACGAATAATACCGCTCATAGGATGAACGTAAACCTTTTCGGCCGACGAGAAAAATGGCAAGGACCAGGAGTCCTTAAATGATTTAAAATACCTATATAACAGACTTTTGAACAGGATTTTGGAATGAAGCTTCTTAGCCGACTTCGGAGGGTGAAGGGGGGTTAGAAAGAGATAGGCTGCATTGAACGTTTAACGCTACTGTGGAGGGGAAAGCAAGAGGGATAAAGACAAACACAAACACAAGGAATAAGACAAAGGCGAAACCAAAGCCAAATGCCAAGACTAATATTAAGATTTAAACAAATCCCTGCTGCATGAAATGCACTAGGGCGCCCTCCTTGAATGAAGAGGTAAGTACCAAATACCAGTCAGAAAATAAATGAAATGAAGCTTCTCAGATGCCTACAGGTCCAGATATAAGCTCGAAATTTTAAGAATATGTAACTATTCAAGGAATGCGGGGTGTATTTCTCTAGAGCATTCATCAGAGTGCATATTAAGGTAACGAATATAGAAAGGCCCTATTTAACATTTTTTCTTTAAAAGTCTTAATTGAATTCAAGTTTGTTGGACGCGTTTCAAGCGCCTATTTTATTGGTGTCTTTAATTGACTAAAAGCTACAGCAGATGTATCAAACTCTATTTACTTTTAGTGTGTAATCGACTTTTGTACAAAGTTCGTTTTTGGAAGAAAATGAGTTCTGTATTCAAAGGTACCCAGTGGGAAATGTAGTAATGCATTACAAGTGTGATGAATAATGTATCTTATGAGTTCTAGATTCTATTACTTTTAAACGTGTAATCAGTATTCTAATGTATCAAAAAAATAGCAAACAATTCATATCAAATCGCATTCATTCCTGCATTACTGGTGATGCATTACAGCCTTTACATGTTTGTCTAATTTTATATTCAAGCACCTCGGAAAAGTGGCTAATAAGTCGTGTTTCGATCATGGACGCCAAACTGCTTGATAGTGGAAATTATTCGTGCTCCATTGGAAAACTCTTCACTGCTATTGTGCAGGTACAAGTGCTGGCAGGTAAGAGAATTCAGTTAAAAAGGGTACTTAATTTTGTCCACGGTTAATATAAATCCAGCATAGAAAAATTTTTTAAGTAAGATATTATTTAAGTAAGAAATGATTCTGTAGACATCAAAAAAGATACCAAAGTGATAAGTGAGTAAAATTTGCTGGTACTTCCTATGAAGACTTCTTGAAGGCGTAGCGCACTGGAGCCAAAGTTCACATTGTTCTATAGAGACTCTAAAAATTAAAATTAATTTTTTTTTCATCTAATACCCAAAATCGATACTTCCATAGTCGAAGTAATCACATATAAATTTTGGTCCCGAATGGAGTTGATTAAAGCCTCTATGCCTCTATGGAGACTAAACAAATTAGAACTATTTTTTTTTTTAATAAGCAAAATCGATACTAAGATATCACATATTAATTTTGGTCCCGATTGGAGTTGGTTAAGACGTCTTCATAGTGTAATCTGTACTTTTACCCCTGTGCGACACGCCTTAACCGTCTCCAATCGGGACCACAATTTATACGTGATCTCTTCGAATATAGTAGCATCGACGTAGGTGTTGAGGCTTAAAAAATCTGATGTAAAAATGCCTTCCTTTGTTTAAGGGCCACCCTAATGTACATAATTTAAAAGATCTCGTTTAAAAGAAAAAGTCATTAAGAATAATGCAATTTAAATATATATGTAGGTATATCTCCGATAACACTGTGGAACAGCTATCTTAGGACCCCAACCAAACGGCAGGCGAACCCTAATAGGGTAAGATCGCAATGCCGCCAGACCTATCTTATTTTTTAATTAACAAAATTTAGGGAATATGTAGTGTTTTATGTGTTTAGTACTAGGTTTATATATAAGTAGATTATCCTCATTTTCAAGCTAAACTCCCTAATCTGTGACTATAAAAAGAAATAAGCCATACGAAATTCATCCCTCCTAATCTGAGATTAAACCCTTGACTTTTCGGTGTCCCACCTAGTTTTATTGATTAATTTTGCGAAGAAGAGAAGAAATGCCATATGTAAAAGTAAACAAAAATGGACGCTGGCAAGGAAAAGAGGTTTGTAAAGGTAAAATATTAAGTTAAAACATATTTTAATTGTAAGAATGCATGATTATCTGCTTGCTTGGGTAGGCGGCCCTTTTACAGGTAGCAGGTAGGAAAGGTACGTTAAACCGTTACTTACCTATGTTGAATTCGAAGTGCTGGTTTTTATATAAGTTTTAGAGAATATTTTTATAAATCAATATTCAATACTGGCAGATACTTTTCGTGGGAGGTAACTTTCGCCAGATGTTTCAAAGTTCGCCAAAAATTTGGGAAATTGTCTTATATTCTCAGTGCCAAATTTTGTACATACTACTAATGGGACTATTTCATCACCAAACTTAATAGGCTCAGATATTATAATGTTGCATATATGTAATACTCCTGAATTGCCAGTAACAGCTAGTACCGTCCCAAAAAACATTACAGTAAAATATATTGTTTTCAGAGCGAGGCAGGCTTATATGATTATTTCAAAAGTGAGATAAAAGGTCATCAGCGCTTCAATGACAGAAAAACTTTATACGATAAGCAGTTAAGAATTGTTGTTGAATTTTGTCTTTAATTTTACTATTTTCTTTGTATGGAGCAGGGATGAAGAGATGTGTGTAATCTGCAACGCTGTGTACACCCCGCGACAAACGATAGCACATCAACATTTTGTACCAGTTTTGACTACTTTTCTTTTGATTTTTTAAGGTTCATTACTTTTATATAAAAGCATAGCTAACAAATCTATACATAGTATAAAGGAAAGTCGAGATTCTCTGTACTCGAAAACTACTGAACGGATTTTGACGAGATTTTCTCTAATATACTCTGTCTCGACAGGAGAGGGATCTTTTTTTACTTAGAATTTTAACATGGTTGCCACCCTTATAAAAAACTATAAGATCCGCACCGTTCGTTGGATTACAAAAGATGAGATGTCAAATGAAAGGGATTGGCCTCTAGAAAAGCACTAACATTTTTTTAATAGAGTTGCCACCTGTAAATAAAATTACCATATTCAATCATAAGCGTAGGCATCAGTTCTGTACCGTCACTATCAAACGAAAAGACTTAGCCTCTGGATGTGTAATAACGTATTATTTTTCTGAGTAGGGCTGCCACCTGTTTAAAAACTATAAGATCTATACCGTTCGTTGGATAAAAAAATGGTGACAGGTAATAAGATCAACGGAAATAAGGTCAATTGACTTTATTTCCCACCCTGGTGCGAAATAAAGTCAATTGACATTATTACCTTTTTAAAAACGAAATAAAATCCATTGACATTATTTCTCTTTCAAACATTAAATTTGCTTAGCTTCGCGGCGGCCCGCGTCAGCGCGCCACACCGCCGCGCCGCGCTCGCGCCCCGCGTACCCCACGCAAATGGCACTTTTGTAAAAAAAAAATAACATTTCAATACATTTTTGTGAAATCCTTTGGGTGCACTTCTTTTTCTCAACTAAAATTTTCTAATTTATAAAGGCTATTCAACTGGTTTATCTTATTTTATGATTGCACTTTTGTTTGGAAAATGTAGCTTTATTTTATTGCTAAATGTGAATGATTAAAAGAAATGCCACCTTTTTTGGCCCTTTTATTTTTCTGTTTTGCACACTTTGGCACTTTTTTATCCTCAATATGGCACCTCATAACTAAGGATAGTTGCCAGCCCTGATTGGAAGATTTCTGCTGTGTTTTGGGGCAACAACTTATCTGCAGTAAAAAAGCATATAATTTTTGTTTCAAAAGTGTGTGAAAACCAATCAATTAACTTATATGATCTCGGTTCCGATATTAAATAATCAATAATTGTTTATACCCGCATTTTGGCACATTGGCTCGTTGAATGTGCTATCTAATAAATAGTGTCGTCATTCTCCTTAGCTGCTTTTAAATGATGTCGTCACAAATTGGTGGCGGAGACATGAACACAGTGTAAGAAAATTCTTTTTCTTTAATTGTTTCCTTATAGAAAAGTTGGTTTATTTTCCACCTTAGACATTCCGAATTCGTCCAAAATATGCTAATTTAAAACACAGAATTCTTTCAGTGTTCCTCCGGGGTTTTTGGACATGTATTGTTTCTTCAATTTAATAATGTTCGCTTTATTTTTGTGGAAACGAAACATGTTTTGCAAGTTATGGATCATTTCTACACTCTTTCTTCAAATATTTCTCGTATTCCAGCTGTGCGCAGGCGTTTAGTTTTTCGCATCGTATTTTTACATATTCGTAATTTAAATTTTTTAATAAAATCAAATGGTGGTAGTTCATGATTGTGTGTGGATTAATATCACAACACTGAGGATTTGGCAATAACCTTTTTCATCTATTAAAAAACAACACTTACGGGGCAATGTTTATTGTAAGAACAACATTTTTTTCTATGAATCGATATACTTTAAGCATTGTTGACGATATTTCCATTTGAATGAGCAAATAGCGTCAATGACTTTATTTCCAAATTTTTGTTGGCTTTATTTCGCTTTTGAAAAGGTAATAATGTCAATTGACTTTATTTCGCACCAGGGTGGGAAATAAAGTCAATTGATCTTATTTCCATTGACCTTGTTACCTGTCACCAAAAAAATAAGATACCAAATAAAAGTGCATGGCCTTCGCATGTACAAAAACTTTAATTTTTTTCAGTAGGATTGCCACCTATTTAAAATTACTATCTTCTATTCATAGTATAAAGGAAAGGCGAGATATTTCAACCGGTGACAGGTAATAAGGTCAATTGACTTTATTTCCCACCCTGGGCGAAATAAAGTCAATTGACATTATTACCTTTTCAAAAGCGAAATAAAGTCAACAAAAATTTGGAAATAACGTCATTGATGCTATTTCTTCATTCAAATGGAAATAGCGTCAACAATGCTTAAAGTATGTCGATTCATAGAAAAAATGTTGTTCTTACAATAAACATTGCCCCGTAAGCGTTGTTTTTTAATAGATGAAAAAGGTTATTGCCAAATACTCAGTGTTGTGATATTAATCCACACACAATCATGAACTACCACCAATTGATTTTATAAAAAAAAATTTAAATTACGAATATGTAAAAAGACGATGCGAAAAACTAAACACCTGCGCACAGCTGGAATACGAGAAATATTTGAAGAAAGAGTGTAGAAATGATCCATAACTTGCGACTTGCGTTTCCACAAAAATAAAGCGAACACTATTAAATTGATGAAACAGTCCATGTCCAAAAACCCCGGAGGAACACTGAAAGAATTCTGTGTTTTAAATTAGCATATTTTGAACGAATTCGGAATGTCTAAGGTGGAAAAGAAACCAACCTTTCTATAAGGAAACAATTATAGAAAAAGAATTTTCTTACACTGTATTCATGCCTCCGTCAGCAAATTGCGACGACATCATTTAAAAGCAGATAAGGAGAACGACGACACTATTTATTAGATGGCACATTCAACGAGCCAATGTGCCAAAATGCGGGTATAAACAATTATTGATTATTTAATATCGGAACCGAGATCATATAAGTTTATTGATTGGTTTTCACACACTTTTGAAACACAAATTATATGCCTTTTTACTGCAGACAAGTTGTTGCCCCAAATCGCAGCAGAAATCTTCCAATCAGGGCTGCCAACTATCCTTAATTATGAAGTGCCATATTGAGGATAAAAAAGTGCCAAAATGTGCCAAAGAGAGAAATAATAAATTATGCCAAATTGAAAAATGAAGTGCCATTTGAAGTAAAATAGGGACAAATGGCACGGTTTGAACCAAGTTGGCATCCCTGCTTCCAATAACTTACAAATATAAAAAGGTGAAATATCGAGGGCTTGAATTCATTAATACCCTCTATCTGCAATTTGCACAAAAACTAATTTGTGATTTTAGAAACCATGTGGGACTTATTACCTGTCGTTATATAAGGTAACATTAATATCACTAATGACAGTTAAAGCTTAGGTGGATTTTTATATCA